CTGGACGTCCATTTGCAGTTTAATAGATTAGGTTTGCAGATCACCCGCCAGTGAAGGAAGGGATCACAAATTGAGCATTTCTTTCAGTTAAATGAATCAACTTTTTTTTAATCAATAATTGTTTATGCGGCATAATGAGCTATTCTCCTGTTGTGAAATGACTTGCACATAAGGTTATCAAGTGAAAAATAACGGCATTATTGGCATAAATTTTATTTTATCTTTGAAGACTATGTAACATGCGCATCAAGGTTCTTTCTACAGACATTGGGTCTGCTTTCATGCTCAATAGCTAAAGCTGTGGATACTATGTCCTCTCTTTCCCATGTGCTTTTCAGTTATTCCTTTCTAGGGGATGCTGAGCTCTTATGCTGGGGGTTTTTAGTGACAAATTTAATGTGCAATGCTGCAGGCAATGGACAGAGCACATCGACTGGGCCAACGGAAAGTTGTGAATGTCCATCGACTGATTATGCGTGGTACCCTGGAAGAAAAGGTAATGAGCCTTCAAAGGTTCAAACTTTCAGTTGCAAATGCAGTCATCAATGCAGAAAATTCAAGTCTGAAAACAATGAACACCGACCAGTTGCTTGATTTATTTGCATCAGCTGAAGCACCAAGAAAGGTAATTCTAGTAGTGTCCATTTACTTTTCTACCACATTATTGGGTGTTCAAATTAAATTCTAAACCACATCATTGGGTACTTTCTGTCATCGAATTAAATTCAAAGTTTTTCTAATGCAACAATTTCTCCTATAGAATGCTTTCTGCTAGATGGGTACAATGTCTCATCTCTCTTTTTCACATCTCAAATTCAGGGAGCTACGACTTCGAAGAACCCGGATGGAGTAGACCCCAAATTATTGGGAACAGGCAAAGGTTTGAAGGCTATCCTGGGAGGACTTGAGGAGCTTTGGGACCAATCACAGTACACTGAAGAGTACAATTTGGGTCAGTTCTTAGCAAAACTGAATGGATGATCCTTCAATGCCACGTGTACAAAATGTATATATCTGATGTAGGACCAAAATTTTGACAGTTAAAACATAGGCTCATTTTTTCTTTTCTTTTCTTTTTATTATATATATATATATATATATATATATATAAATCCCGGTTCTTCTCCTTTCTCCCCAATTTTTTCTTCTCCTGTACTCGTTATTTGTGGAGACTGGGGAAAGGATGAAGTTTTGAGTGGTTGGCATGGAAGCCTTTGGCTTTGTAATGGAGGGTTTGAAAATGTCGATCTGAGAATGCTGAGGGGAAGGGAAGATATTTTATAGAGTCCGGATTTTGTATATACAAACTAAACTCATTTATTTTCTTTTCAATTATAGAGAAATCATCTTCTAAAATTCCTTGTCCACCGAATCTCCTTCGATTTCTTTTTATTCAGTTCCTTTTCTTTTAGGTAATGTAATAGCAGAAAGTATCCCTGCAAATCCAACATGACCCTCTTAAGCCATTACCGCCTCTGTTCTGTGTGTTAGAAGCCAACCCAAGGAAATGTTTTTTTTTCCCAAGTATAGTAACAAACTAAAGAAAAGTGGTGATTTAGTTCCTGAATCATAGGTTTAATCTTAAAATTACAAAATTATTTCATGTGAATTTTGTTAAATCTTTTTACCGAAATTGTAAATATTTTTTCTATATTACTTAAAACATTGTAAAAAAGTAGCTTGAAAAAATATATATATATATATATATTTTTTTTTTTAAGAATTGGGAATTGAGAAAAAAGTAATTATTTTAATTAAAATTTGCAGTTTTGTCAGGCATGAATCAAATCACTATCGTTATGCCAATGTGTGATTAGGATTGGACCGTAGCAGCTGAGGAGAAATACCAATCTCTTAAGTTTATCTACGACTATGATAATGAATGAAGCATGTGGTTATGTTTTTTTTTTTTCTTTTATTATTGTTATTATTATTATTAAACTGCTGGAACCACGTGATAGTTTGCTCAGCTCACATCTCTTCTTTTAGTAGCATACAAATTTTGGTTCAAACTGAAAATTTGAATTGGGAACAATTTGTTCGATTTAGATCGGATCAGACTTTAGTTATTTTTACTCCGTTCTCTAATTTATAGTTTGAGAATTAAAAAAAAAAAAAAAATCTGATTTAAAATTTATTAGGTTTTGATTCAATTCTGGTCGAAAATATTCTTACCTCTCGTATTATTTATTAACACTCTAAACAACATACAAGAAAGCAATAATAATATCCACTAATTCAACATGTGCTAGAGAATTCATCCCGACTTATTTTAAATTCAATTTCTACGGATAACCTTCAAGACCAACATATATCATTGTCGCATAGGTATCATAGTCAAGCTTTGAATTCGATTTTCCTCCACAATCTATAATATTTGTCATGTTGCGTGCTTTGGACGTTCTCATGAGTTCACATATAACCCTACCCATTGCCATTGGTAAATCTATAAGTTTCTAGACCTCCACCATATTTCCTACAGAGACAAACAAAAATCACCCTCACCCTCTCCTTAAATTCATTCCAAAGTCAAACGAAAGTTTTGTTACCTCTTAAGAAAATTTATTTGTCATAACCTTTTTATAAATTATATTTTTTTAAAAATATATACTCAATATATATATATGTATCAAAGAATTATTTAAAAAAAAAAAAAAAAACTAACTCAGAAAATAATAGAAGAATTTTAAAAATAAAAAATAAAAAAAGGAC